AAAGATACTTGCTTGCCGATTTCATTTAACTCTTTTTCTCTTTCTTCCTTAATTTTTAGATCTTTACTTTTACTTACATGCATTTTTGAAGCAAGATGGCACTTTAAATCATATTTCAGATGACGAAATGAGTCTGGCAATAAATCATTATCAAAAATGGCTCCCTCATTTATAAAATCATAGTTGAGTGTAGTGCCACAAGCTTTGCAAAACAGACCATTGTCACTTTTTAAAAACATTCCATCAGGCACCCATTTCAATAGGGCATCAACTGTACGTGCAGAAGATAAAAGATCAGACTTTTCTTCATCTGTTAGAGGGCACCAACGTAGACTTGTGCAGAGGAGATGAACTCTGAGGTTTTACTGCCTTTAATTCTTCAACCTGTTTCTTCAGATCTGAAAAATAAGTACAAAAAAGAAATTAAAAATAACATCAGTAATAAAAATATGTATATAATTTTTCAGAGACTCCAGCATTTTGTTTCAGTTTTTTAGTAGTAATAGTAATTATTAAACTAAAATTATAGTTCTCAACTTCTTTTTATGTATTGCAATTTTCCCTATTTAATTATTTTCCCTCATTTGTCTAAATACACAGAATATTTTGTAGCAGTTATAATTGAATAATGCTGAACATTTTTTAAAAAAATAATAATTATAACATAAATGTCAAAAATAGTATAATATTTTTATTAAATTATGACAGAATTACTAATTTAGCTAATAAGTTATTTTTATAATTTATTAAAGCAAAATTTTTAAATATTTTTATTATTGATTACACTGCCCAATTAATATCAGTCGAATCTCAAAAATACAGAAAGAAAAAGCACTACAAATAGTGAAAAATGTAGAAATGTAATAAAAACATGTTTATAATACTGCAGGTTTCACTGCAGATTTTTACTATTTATGAAAAAAAATTCAGCTTTTAAACAGGTATAATCTAAAAATAATTAAATTAAAAATGATTCTTTCTAGGCAAATAAGAATTAAAATACACCATTTAAAATGTTAATTTCTTTAATTTTGCTTTACATACAACAGTTGAACTTCAAAAATTATAAATAGTTCAGTACTGTCTTTGTAATATAATATTAGTGTATATTATTCAATTACAGTAGAGAACCAATTAACCGACTATCGCTATCCCGAATGTCTGAATTTCCCTGTTTTTGGATCGGCCCAAAAGTACCTATGTTATATCAGACCCAAATTACAAGAAAAAGTTAAACACATTTTAAAATAAGAAAAAAAGAAGCAAAGATCTCTTAAATTAAAAAAAAAAGTAGAAAAATAACATTAAAAAAGATAAAAACATTTGCAAGTTTAGACAAGAAAAACAAGTTTAAAAAAATACAACATTCACATGTTTATTTTTTGATAATTAATGTTCCCAAATTAACTAATTTAAAACAAAACCAATGATTAAAAAACTCAATAAATCACTTATTTATACAAGGGTAAACAGTAAAAAAGAAACTTATTAATCTAAATATGCACTTGTTAAGAAGGTGATAGGTAATAAAAGAGGTATGAGGTGATAGGTTATAAAAGAGGTATGTTACTCTCCAGGAAAATGCTGTAACTTCGAACTTACGTTATGTTAAATGTTGTAACTGATTTTCCAGTTTTTTGAATCACAACATAATGCCGTTTTTTATTGTTTATAAAACCCAACTTAAAAGAAAATTTTGGAAATAGTTTTAAAAAGAAGATAAAAACAATTAAGTAATTGCATATGTTTAATCATATAATAAGAAAAAAAAACATTTATTGAAACAAAGAACAGTAAGTTTTAATTTGTGCAAACCTACAGCGTCAACCTGTCTTTGACAACTTTGAAATCGCTAGGGTTTGTAATCCAACTTTCGCCATCTTTATCATTGACGTCATTACTTTCATTCAATATAACTTTTACCATAAATTTTTTTTCTTAATCTTATCAAGCGATCCACTGCTTCTTCAAAATTCTTGTCCCCATGCCTTTGCTAATTGAATAGCTTTCTCAGTTGTTAAAAGTCCCGAGATGGAAATGAAGATCCGGAAATCTTCATCTTTCCAATGATAAATCAACTGAACTATACCGGAGAATTCTTGTGGTAGATGCCTTATTGCTTGGAAGCCTTGAAACAATTGATCCAATTCATGACCCTCTTCACTAAGCTTTTTCACTGCTGTTTTATGTCTAGCAATAAAAATTCCTATGCTTTCATTTGTTGTTACTTTCCACATGGCCCAGAACAAGACCAGAAGACCGTTCACCGACAGAAAAATCATATACCATCTCCAGACTCTCCAAGATAAATTTCTTCTCTAGCCCCATACAGGACAGCAAATGATCAGGTGTCATTTGTTTGATACTTTATACCAAAAAACTCCAAGTATCTGAATGAGTATAGCTCTTCTTTTTGGTTCAAATTGTTGAACCAATTTCTCCCGAACTTTCTTCCCATCTAAACGATCTTGAATAAGCGGTCTGAACTCTTGTCTCAATTACATAAGACAAGGAAGTTTTCTTAATGTTTATTGCTCGTATAAATAACGGGCAATATCTTAGTATTTTTTAGGACTCTAGGGTTAGCACTTTTACTCACAACTAGTAATTTTCACTTATGTGTACCTGTCACATTGCTATGTCCAAGAACAGTAATTCGTTCTTTGCAATCTTTCACTCCAGAAGGGACACTTTCTTCTGATGCAAAATGCGTTTTTCTAGTAATGTATTTTCAGAACAACCCAGTTAATTCGGCATTGTAGACTAAATCTACAGAGTACCTTTCTTCAGACATAATGTTCGTAAATTCCTCTACAAACAATTCTGCATTTTCAATATCTGCCGACGCTTTATCACCAGAAATGCTTATAATTTTAAGTCCGTGCCGCTTCTTAAATTTGTTAAACCATCCCGAAGAATGATAATATTCAGTCTCCAGTTCTAAGAGTTTATGAAACTCTTTTGATTTTGCTTGTTCCATTATAATTGTCCGATTTAAAGGATTCCTGTCTGTTCGCCTTTGCCTTATCCATTACATCAAAACTTCATCCAAATCTTTATTTTTGGAAGGATGCAAAGTTTTTCAGTCTTTCATTAGTTTAGGAGAATCACTTTTGGCATAAAAATCCAAAATTGCAGCCTTCGGTTTTTTCAAGGTGTAAATCGTTGAGCTTCCAACGCCAGCACAAAACATTTTTACAGGTGTGCCACTGTCTAACTTTTTTAGCAATTTCACTTTCTGCAACAAACTAAGAATTCTCCGCTGCGAGGTCATTGTTCTCGTTTTTTCTTTTAGATAACTGTGTTTTAACAAAAGACGCTCACCTCGCAAAAAAAAAATAAAAATAAGCAGCTAACAGTTCAGAAGTTTTTGATACTACGTCTCAACCATGGTAAAGTTTCTAGCCATTTCTGATCAAAAGTAGTTTTATGTTTAGTACTTTTACTTTAGATTTTTCGCCTTCAGTTTCTAAAGAATTGCACTTATTCGAAATAGCATCTTCATTATCCAGAATTTAAATTCCTGGAATGCTAGACAAAGAATTTTCTTCTGTTTGCATTTAAGTTTGGAGCATGAAGTTGTATATGGAATTTCAAGTGAGATAGTTTATCTAAATTTTGGACAGGTAACTAGGAAACTATGAGTCGAATTTTTCTGCCTGTTGCATTTTATAGAAGCACCAGAAATATCGATTGTACTTTACATATACTTATTCCTCGCATTGTTCCTCCAATACTTGAAGTTGCCAGCATCCATTAATTTCAGACAGTATTTCAGATAAAGATAGCGTATCTAAATTTTGATCAGACAACTGGGAAATTGCAGTACTGTTTTTTTCCTTTTTTTTCTTCCTTTTATAGAAAAATGCGTCTCTTTTTCATATTATTCCACTCTTCAACGGTTTTTGTGAAGTCACATTTACCATTTAATTTTAAATCACTAACTTGTGCAACTTTCAATCGATTTCTGTAATTTGTAATCACAAGTTTAAGAAAATATTTATTCAACTGCATTTGAAGTTTATATTATAGATGTGAAGTTTTTGTATGGACAGAACATTACGATGAATATCACTTTTTGCAATATAAAATTTTTTGAGATACTGTGCTAATTCTATTATCTACGTATTTCCATTCAGAGATAGCTTAGTTTCTTCTGGAACTTTTCTAAGGTCCGAAATTCCCAAATTAGGGATGATTTCTAAAGTTTCCAGTCTTGTTAAAACATTCGTATATTTAAAAATAGACTACTTTCAGTTATACTTAAAGCTACAATAATAAAATTAATAACATTATAATTAACATAATGCAGCATTAAATAAAATAATATACATTGAAAATAATGTAAATTGAAAATCATGTATACAAAAAATAATTAAACTTTTGTTTTTAATACCTGACAAATAAAAAAAAATTTCAAAGATTAACTAAAAAATAACATACAAAATTACATAGTTTTGTTTTGCTCTACTAATGCGTTGAGTATGTACTTGTTAAACTTTCGATAGTCATACTCAATAACTCATAAGCTGTCTGTAGATATTGTTTTTTTTTTTTTTTTTTTTTTTTTTTTTTTTTTTTTTTTTTTTTTTTTTTTTTNTTTTTTTTTGATCTTCGTCGAATAATAAATAGTATTTTTTAGCTTTCTTAAGAGAGAAATTGCTCTCTTCAGGGAAGATTGTTGCAGAGATTGATGGATGCCAATAAACATTGGTTCAACAACAATAAACAAAACAAAACATGAAATATGGCATTACTCTAAAAAAATAATTAATGAAACAATAACTCTTAAACCTAGTGACTAGTGCAGTACAGCCATTTCTGGCTCTTGTGCCAATAAACTAACCAACCATATACTTTATGCCACCGTATTTTCCAAAAAGTGTACTACTTTTTTCATCAATACTTGAATGTTCTGAAAACAGCAAACTTTTGTGTAGCTTCATTCAACGGTTTATAAATTAGATGAACTTTATAATAGCAATCTAATGAAGCAATGGTAGTGTTGTTGATGTGTAAATTTATTTAAAAGTCAACTCGGAGCTTTTGTTCTATGAAACCCAAGATTTAATTGAGTTTTGTTGATGAGCCACATATATAACTGGGGATTTTACCATTGTCATGTATGCATAATCTTTTTCGGCATCTTCACTAGTAAAACTAGTTTGTATATAGTATTTTCTCTTCGGTTTTTATTCAAGAATTTTATGTAAAGCTCAAAGTTACTTTTTGTAAGCATTCAGTGCTTCTGCTGAAAAATACAGAAATTTTTATATGAATAAAACTTTAGTATAAAGCCATTTACATTAGTTAATATCTGGGTTATTTAAATTGATGAATTGCTTTAATTTTTTTTTTTTTTTAAATTTTATCTTTCTTTCATAGAATATCTACTATAACTGGACATATGCCTCATGAAGTGACTGGATTTAATGCTTACAAATTTATTCACACTGAAGATACATCTGTTACTTTATTTGCTCATCATCTCAGTAAGTTAACAATAATTTGTTTTAATTTTTTTTGTTCATTTTTTTTTAAACTGAAAAAGAGGGCAGATATACCATTGCAGTTTTGTATAAAAAAAAAGAAAACTGAACTTTTATCACAATAACACATCATTTATATTAACAAATCTGGCCTCTCACAGGCTTTAATGCCTAATCTCAGGCCTACAAAGTATTTTCTATGCCTTTTATCATTATAAATGTATGATTTGGAGAACCCGTGCATAACTTGCATACAGCCCTCAAAACTTTCCTCCAGATCAGCTACTTTACTTTTTTCTTCAATATTTTAAAAGGTCTATTGAACCGAAAGAAAAAACATTTATAAATAATTTAATAATATAGCTTTTTAACTAACTAATCATTTACAAAATTTTGCATTTACAAAGTATATGATAGCTTAATTCATACTAAAGTATCTAATTTGAGTAATATTTTAAATTTTTCTTTTTGAAACATGAAGTTCTTTGTTGATAGTTTTCCTGTGTAAAAGTTTGGCGTTTGTTTCTTACTGTTCCAGAAACTCAGTTTTGTGCTTTGTAGTGCTGCGATATTTCAGATCAGAAGTCTTTCATTCTTTTGAAAGGATACATAAAAATGGTGTTAAGTCAGTTAGGAAAAGTTATACCTGTGTGTTTGTTAAATTAAACCTGGGAATCTTAATCATTCCTCGCCAAAATACGACCCCTGAGAAGATATTTCAAATCACTTCGCTGGATTGGGCTTTCCTCCAAGGAACAACATCCTTCCTGGGCTTCTTTCCTTTTTGGGTTGGCACATTGGGGGAGGGAGTTGCATCAGAAGACCTAGGTCTCTTCGCTCCGCCACTCGCCGCAATGGCCCTCATTTTCCTTAACTTCTTTTTCCGGCTCTTGGACAATCCAGTGGCGCCAGACACACTGTCTCCTGAGTGCGTCTGGAGACCAGAGACTCCTACAGAGGAAGGGCCTGTGCCTTTGGACACCTCACCAGATTTCGAAGTAGACTGCAAAGCAGCGGTATTAGCACTGGGCTCACCCGAGGGCTTACCATGTGATACTGGAGATTATAAAAGAACTTTTTGAACAAGAACCTCTGCCTAATTCCTGAACGCATCCCTTGTTAACCGGCGCGACGGATGATGCCATATCCAAAGCTTTACTTTCGCTCATCATGTTGGTTGCCTGCCATTTAGTTTCCCAGTGAGGGGTATCCAGAGGGCACTGCTTGCGGCAGGCATTACCCCCCACCTGCTGTTTTCCACATTACCTCAAAAACTGAAGGGGGAAAAAATGACAAAACTAAATCAGAAATACAGTAAGTGCTTGAAATAATGATGTTTTTTAATATTTAATCATTTGATGTTTCAGTTTTGATTTTATTAAGAACAAATAATTAAAATCAAATTTGTTTCATGTCATATTATAAGTAAAACAAATAGACTAGTATCCAGGCATTTTTTTTTAACCACTTCCCTTATTATCCTGAGGTTACTCAGGCATAGAAGAATTTGTCATTTGTTTTATTACGTTTTTACTCTGCTGTAATTGGAGTCATGTCAAGTTTTGTTTGAGAGTTTCGTAGTTAATTGTGGGACTACACACGAGTTTGTGTGATTGTAAATATAAAAAAAGTGGTGTATCACTTCACTAGCATTTGTAAAGTACCGTAATTTTTGGAAGAAACGCCGCACCTATTGTAAACGCCGCACTCGCGATAATGAGACTTAAAAGAAGAAAAAATCATGGTAAACGCCGCACCCATAATAACAATTTAGCAGCAGAAATGAGTATGTAACATTAATTCCTCATAAATACTACTAATGTTTTAAATTAAAATTTATAAATATATAATTACAATAAATTCAAGAATGTAATCTGTTATTGTATATTTTGGACAAACTGCTCAGAACAACATGTTACAATCGGCATCTTTAGATAAAAAATTTAAGTAACTACATTTATATTAATTTAATATAAATGATTTTTTTACATTACTACATATTTACATTTTATAATTATTTTTTTTAAATTTTATTTATTTTTTGGAAATATACCTCTTTTATTTAACTAAGAAGATATTAGTTTATAAGTGGCACCCGTAACAATGATGTAGCGGAAAAAATTAAATATATTAAATTAATGCTTTATAAATATTACTAAAATTAAAATATAAATTAAAGTATAAAATGTGTAGTCTAACAAAAGCAAGAATCTGTTATTAAACACTTAGGACAAACTGCTCAAAATAATATTTTTACAATCGGTAATTGCTGGTGGTGCCATCTCTAGGTTAAGATTATATAACTGACTTACATTGCAACATATCTACATTAAGTGGGTCACATTCACTTAGCACGTTTTTTAAAGTGGGTCGCATCCACTTAAAATTTAGGTTCACTCAAACCCTTTAAATTAAAACCTATTTTTATAGTGTCCGGAGAAATTGCTTTCCAAGCTTCTGAAACCCATCGAGCTACTTCTCCATATGAAGCTCTTTTCAAATTTCCGTTTTTTGTGTACGAGTGATTTTCGCCAGCCATCCATGCCTCCCAAAGTTTTCTCATGTGGCTTTTGAAACTTCTATTTACTGTTAAATCCAGCGGCTGGAGTATTTTTGTTAGCTCACCTAGGATAACAGCTAAAGAAGCTGAAGCTTTTTTTCTTCCTTTTTCATCGAGTCCAGCAAATGTGCCTGCATTGAATCCATCACAAGAATGCCACTTGGCTGGGAAAATGACCCTTTTCTTTTACGCCAGACTTCATTAATCCAGTCGAGCATTATTTTCTCGCACATCTAGCCCTTCTCGTTGCATTTTCTGACGACGTCACTTGGGAAAATTTCCTTAGGCAACGTTTTCCGCTTAAAAATCAGCATCGGTTTTAATTTTTCGCCATTAGCAGCACAGGCAAGCACACAAGTGAGGGATGTTTTTTCGTGACCAGATGTAGCAATTGAAACTGTTTTATCACCGGTTTTATTTACTGCTCGGTTGGGTGGGCAATCGCACCTCGACGGAACTTCGTCCATCTTGACGATTTGGTATTCTTTAATTCTTTTCTGAGCTCTTAAATCCTTAATATAATTCAAAAAGGATTCTTTTTTTTTCTTTTCAGTCATCTGGAAGACTTTGGCCAATCGTTGTATTTCTTTGCACAGATAATTTCTTTCTTGTCATGAACCGATGACACCAATTTGGATTGCCGTTGAAATTGGAAATTCCTATGTTTGCAGATATCTTTTTGGCTTGTAGACGAATTTTAATGGTGGATACATGAAGCGTTCAAAATCCATCTTGTGTTGTTCAAAAATCCACTTTTCTAAAACATCTTCTAGCTCAGGCCAGCGCACAGTTCCACTTTGTCTTGCCCTTTTCATTTTCGGCATGTTTTCTAGGCTTTCTTTTTCCGACAGCCATCGGCGAATGCATCTCTCATCTACTTCAAATTCTCACGCTGCTGCACAATTTCCTATACTTTCAGCTTGTTCAATAACTAACAGTTTGAAAGCAGCTGTATAACTCATATGTCTTTTAGGATATTATATTATAGTATGAAAAAATATTATCAAATATTAAAAAGAAAACTTTCCGCAATTTAATTTCTCTACACTATGCAAAGCAGGTTGTAACAAAATGAGAAAAAATGTGAAAGATCTATCAACCACGTGGTTTGACCAGAACTAGATAGAGATCAACCCACTTTCTTTAAGGGGTGGTGGGTTAGCAATAGTGGCACCATCTTCTGCTATAATTTGCAACTATTTTTATTAAAATTTTTATTTTCTCTTTGAAAATGTAAAATTTATTTTTAAAATATAGTAAACACTGCTCTTAAAATTTTAAAACTTTTAAACTCGTAAACGCCTTGGTGTTTCTTCCATAAATTACGGTATCACTTTTGTCCCTTGTTTTAAAAACTATCAAAGACTAATATTTAACTTTTTTCATGTACCCTAGATAATCCAGGATAGTAAATTGATGGTTTTTTAAACATAAAAAAATTAAATTTTTAACTTAAAGCTTGTGTATTAAGTTTTGTTTTTGTTACTTGTATGAATACTTGTATGTTACTTGGTCATGAATAAAAAAAAAAAAAATATAAGTTAATTTTTTACTTTTAAAAAAAATAGGTAAAGGAAGTGGTTAAGGATAATAAATTATATGTATGATTTTTTTAAGTGCAAAATAAAACATCAAAGATTTTTATCTATGTTCATTTAATGATATAAGTCAATAGTACTAATCCTTCAGTGATGTTTTAAAATAAAAATCAGTTATTGAAGGAATATTGTATTCGCCCAATATGAAAGTTTTTAGGCCAATGAAAGGTTTATTAGATATTTATTATTTTAAATTCTACTCTAAGGAAAATAATTTGCTTTATAATGTTTTTATTTTTAAAGTACTGTAATGCATAGAAGTAATATTTTCTTAAGATAAAAGACAAAATAAGCTTTCAATTATATAGAATTACTTTCTTTTCCTTTTTAGTGTTTTCTAGTGATAAAGGTACTGGCATGATAGTATATCGTTTGCGCACAAGAGACGACAAATATGTATACCTAAAAACTGTTGGCTGTTTACAGTATGATAGCTGTACATCTCAAGTCGATCATTTTGTTTGTGTCAATCAACAACTTGGGTAGGATCTATTTATTGTTAAATTTTTATTTTACATTAAAAGATTGCTTAGCTTTTTTTTATTAACTTCAGTATATTCATAGTCATAAAGGATTAACTTCTTGACAATAGAAAATATGTAATTAAATTTTATTGGAAATAAATTTCATAATTACATATAAAACAATTAAAAACTCATAATGGCCTCTATTTGTTACAAGGGTCAGTGGAGAAACTTTCTTATTTATTACAGATAAGTTTTCAGTCGAAATGTCTTATTTTTAGGGCCAAATCCAATGGGGTCCACTAGTATGCATATATTTTAAGCTCACTTCTTCTTTTTTGGAATTTATGCCTAAAATTGTAGCATAATAAAAGTTACTAATTGTGTTCTTTTTGCTACTAACTGCAGTAGAAAATGATACTAAAACATAGTCTCTTACAAGGTCGGTTGTCTGCATGATCTGAGTGGGTGATGGATCTACTTCTTGAGTAGCAGTGAACTTTTACAGTAGTAGTACTTTTTTTGAATTAGATTTTGCAGTCCTTCCAATTAACAGATTTGTAGCGTTGCTCACTTGAAAATGGTAAAGAGATATTTGATTAGCAATATTTGATTGGATGTCACATACAATGGTTTAATTGCACAACTTACGTTCATAATGCAGTTGAAGAAATCCAGAGCGGAGTTTACCACTACTTTCTTGGATTTTACCTGATGCCAAACTTTTGACTTTATTAGCCCTCCAATGCCATCTACTGCATCTTTTCCATGGGAAGTAGCAAAGAAGTTCCACTCACAATTTAATTGAAAATTTTCCTGAAAGAAGCACAAGTTCAAAATTGTATACTTATTTTTGAATTGTGCCTCGCAGGCATCGAAAAAAATCTTTGTTCTTCGTAGCTGAGGATACTAAATTTTTAAATCCGATAAAATAGCATTTAAAAATGCCCATACAGCATATTTATCATGCTGAAGTTCGTTGCTTACTACCACAAAAGATCGAATAATATCTTTTAGCCATGCACAGCATGTGAATATCGTAATTTGTGGATGAGTCCAGTGCGCACTTTGGATTTCATCCTGAGACACTCTACTGTAGTTCTCAGCAAAGTCCACTTGAAGTATCACTTCACGATCCTCAAAACCTCATTCATTTACCTTTAATTTGATATATTATATGTTACAATTAAGACATTGAAATTTCAACCCTCATGTCCACTTTTACATGGAAATGCTCTATACGCTTTAAACAATAGATAGAGACATTAAAAATGAAACAGAGACGAAAAGTAGCTTAAAATAATAATATATTTATATCAACACAATTATATGTTAACTAAATTATTTCTTAAACATGTAAAAAATTGTAAGTTGTTTCATAGATTTCATTCTATGATTACTTATTTTTTCTTTCACTTTACAGAGTAACATTAACTCATGTTCATCAACAATGTCTCTTTGCTCCAAACCTTTAAGAACACTGTCCATATTTCTTAACATTTCATCCAGCGAAACTGATCTTTCTTTCTTTGGAGTATCCATTTCTGTATCGCTGTCGTTTTGTTTATGGTCATTACTCAAAACTGGCCTTTTTTATTTCGTTATTGTAACTCATTACCTCCTTGAGAAGTTCATTGATTTCAAGTTTTAAATTTTGAACTTTTGAAAATTTTAATTCTTCAAAATCATTTTTAAAGAACATTGTAGAAAAGGTAGCAGATTCTGCCAACCATGTCGCAAAGTTTCAGGCGTAACATTCCATATATTTGCGACACAGTAAAGAGAATCTTTTATGTCAAACTCTTTTAAAAATTCTGTGATCTTGCTCTGATTGATAGAACGTAGCATTTTTCTCCAAAATGTCTTTTTTATATTTACATTTTAAGAATCTTAATATTCCTTTATTCATCAATTGAATAAGCGAAGTAAAATTTGGTGGTAAGTACATTACCCGAACTCCTGATTTAGATGAAATTTCAGCTAAAGGATGCGCTGTACAATTATCTAAGACAAGGATAATCTAAGTATCGCTCAGAAGCCCAGCAGCATTGCAATGAGCTCAAGCTTTCGGAACAAAATTATTGTTAAGCCACTCTTCAGTCAATTCTTGCGTAATCCATGCAGGTTTGTTTGCTTTGTACACAACAGGTAGACTGAATGTTTTTCAATACTCGAGGTCTCGCTCTTTTGCTGATTACCATCAGCTTGTGGCAATAAGATCCAGAAGCATTAGCACGAGCCAACACAGCCTCTACTTTATATCTTTCACTTCGGATGGATTGCTTTCATCTGCGGTGGCTATGGTTTTTCTTGGAATATAGTGGCAGAGAAGAGCAGCTTCATCAGCATTATATATTTGATTGAAAGATAAATAATTTTCAGCAACAAATTTGGCAGCTTCAACGTCAGATAATGCCTTTCCCCCTCAAATTCTTAATTATTCTATTCCGTTTTTTAAACCTATCGAACCATCCTGAAGAATTATCAAAAGGCGTTTCTATACTCAAGTCTTTGTGGTAGAGCCTCGTCTATGCCACAATAATTGCGCCAGTCAAAGGCACTTTCGCACTTCTTCATTGTTGTACTGTAGGAACATCATATGTCACATGACTATTCATATTACTTTCATGAGAGTTGCGAATGGCAACAGATCAAAAAATAATAATAAAAAATGAGTGTTCTAAAAAATGTCTGCTGATCATTTTTTATCCTGTAACTCTGTTGCGTACAGTACCCATTATATTATTCAAATCTTCGTTGTTATCATTGCATATCGTTTTTCTTTTATCCATCTCTAAAGGTATATTACTTTTTGTGAAAAACTGCTGTACTTTTTCCTTCTGTTTAATTAAATCATAAATAGTGGATTTATCGAGTTCATATTCTATGCAAATATTAGCCACTGAAGTTCCAGAGTCATATTTCCACATTGACTTATTAATGAAATTAAAATTGAAATGACATTAAAATTGAAACGGAATTATGCTTCCTCTTCTTCGAACTTTCGACATGATTTCTTGATCGGTAATGAAGTCTCTTTGTTCTAGTCATTTAATACTATTTTTCAAATGCATAACTAGATTGTCAGTAGAAATCCGTTCTTCTGCTGGTTCTTCTTCGCTGTCCACACTTTCAGTATCACTGTCCTGTTTGTTCAAGCTATATTTTTGATTTCCTCGTCTGTTAATTGAGGCACAGTTGGGGCATCTTCATCCAACTTTTCACTGTCACAATAACTTTTGATGTATTGTAATAATTCTTTCACGCTATCTTTCTTTTTGTTTGGAAACAATGACAAGCTCGTCCTCATCATTACCAAAAAAAAAAAAAAAAAAAGTTGATGGCCAAATGTCCTTCCAAGCATTTTTAAGGGTTTTCTGGTCGACTTCTTCCTACACTTTTGCTATGTTCCTTATTGCAGTCTTTATGGAATAAAACTTCACAAAATCTTGTAATATTTGACCAGCATCGACCTTAGGAATTGAGTTTTGTATTTGAACTTGAAGGACCTCATTATACCGTTATCCATAGGCTGCAAAATTGAAAGCAGTTAGGTGGTAAAAATACAACGGAAACATATGCCCTTTCCATTATTAATGGTATTTTGTGGGCAGAGCAAATGTAAAGGATTAGAAGTGGCTTTTTCTCTTCCAAGCTAATCGATAGAAAATGTTTTCTTACTTGCGGCACAAAATAGTTATCCAGCTATTCTTCTATGAGTTGCTGTATCATCCATGCTTTTTGATTGGATTTATAATTGACGGGTAACATTTTAAATTCCTTTGGGACGCAAGGGCAAGCACTTTCCCCGATTGCAAATAATTTGCATTTGTGCGTACCCGCTGCCTTTGCACATGCCATAATAGTCATTTAAAGTTTTTTAACCATCCAGTACTGTAGCTGCACTCCTCTTGATTGCCCATTTCTTCATGAAAAATCTTTGCTTGGGCCATTAACGTTGGTCCTGTTAACGGTATGCCTTCACTACAGCATTGTCATACCCACTGAATCATAACTTTATCATGATCCTCGTTTTTGGCATTTCGAATATATTTCCGATCTTTCATTGCAAGAGGTATGTCAGTTTGAAAAATCGTCAAACTGTTTCTTTTTCTGTTTTTTGGTATCGTACACAGTAGACTTTTCTATTTTATATTCCTCATACAACTTAGATACTGAAGTGCCCATGTCTAATTTTCTCAGCAATTCCACTTTTTCTTTAATGGATAAAAAAAAACATTCTTTCTTTTTTTTTTTTATACGGAAGTGAAGATATCGTGAGTAAAATAACATCACTAAGATTTTAAGCATCAGTTTTATTTTGTCCTGGGATGATCAACTTTTTTGAAACCATTTATCACAGCTTCTTTTTTTTAACAGCTTTCCAAGCTTGGGTCACCCATGCGGCGACATCCTCCTAACTTTCACAATCTGCAGTCCGGATATAGTGTAGGAGTGGATACCACGCTCCATCGGATTCTCCCACTGCCGCCTTACTCCTTGCTTGAAAACCCCTTTGAAAGTCTGGTCAAGAGGTTGAAGTATCTTCGTTAGGCCACCGTCAATGACAGCAAGTTCTTTGGGGGGGGAATTTTCCACACAAATCTTTAATAGATTCTTCTTTATGGGATCGTGGTGAGTCGAGGATCAGTAAACCGCATGGCTGGAAGAAAAGCACCTTTACGCTTCCTATACACCAAATACAGCCACTGCAGCATTATATCCTTGCACACAGCCCCTTTTCACTTGTTCTAATTATTATGTCTTTAGGAAAATCACCTTTTGGTATAGTTTATCTCTTGAAGATTTGCAACGCTGTAAGCTTCTCCCCCATTACGGAACATCCTAGCACACAGGTAAAGGACATTTTATCATGGTCTCTATGGCTCCGGATTTTGCCCCTGTTTTATCCACAGTCCTGGTGGGAGGGCAGTCAAAGGAAAGCGGAACCTCGTCCATGTTTATTAATTGATGTGTTTCGGGCTATGTTCCTCAAATTTTTTTTAATATCAAAAGTTAAGAAAGAACCCTTTTTTCTATTTTTCCCTTTTCCTTTTATTCCTTTTCCTTTTATTCCTTTTTTAACCCTTTTTTGGCGCACAGACAAATTCTTTCGCTTCATAATCCTGAAACAGCTATTCGGTCCTCCTGTGAAATCTAGAGTACCCATCTGGCTGGCAAACAAATTCGCCATTCGCAAACCATATACGAATCCACACTGTAGAGAGGGACAACTCTTTGGCCCTCCTCTACTCTTTAATTCATGCCATCTGGTTATCCTCCAGCACTGGCCACCCAACAGTGCTATTACGTTGAGCACGCTTAGTCTTGGGTAGTTGAGACAATACTTCCTCCGTATGCACCGTTCATCAACATTGAATTCTCGAACAGCACCCCGATTTCTTCAGCTTAATTACTGAGATCTTAAACTCAGCCGGTCTCAAACAGCTCAAAACAAGTTATATTGAAATTTAAATAAAACAAAAATATCAAAGAAAGAAAAATATTAACAAAATGAAAACGCAACAGAAGATTAAGCAATAAAGGAAATAAGCTAAGGAAGAGGATGGTCGAACTCTTAAGATAGAAATCCGAGCAATGAAAAAAAGAAACCAAGAAAAGCACTCTCCCAAGCATTTAAAACAAATTTCTATATTCCCCTTTTCCTTCCCCTACATTCTCTTCTTAAATCAAACTTCAGAAAACAGCTCTTTTTTCTTTTTTTTTAAACTGACTCCACCTAGGATTGTGTATAATTCTCACACATTGCTTTTTCCCCTCTTCACTGACCTTCAGTTGAAAGTTTAAAATTCTTATTGAACATTTTAATTGTAAGAATACTTAAGGTCATCCCAAGCTCATCTGTACCATCCACCTGTTTCTAACAAGCAGCTAAAGAAAAAAGGGGAGTAGAGAGGCATCCCATGCTTACTGACACAACCATGACAAGTAGATGAGGCATATTTCCTTGAAGAAAACAGGTGTGGGGAAGCGTTAGTTTTACAGTGAAGGTCATCACTGGCACCACCCTGATTTTCTTCATTCATTCCTTTCTGATTCATGTTTCTCCACTCCATGCTGGTCCCCTACACTCAACTGCTGTTTCTATGGCAGAAGAGAAAAAGAGACTTTTGTTCTCTTGCAGATAGGGGTCTCCAGAAAGTGATTCTAAGAAAGGATAGGGGAAGGGGAAAGTTCCAGGTGTGTAGACCATTCTTTGGAGTAACATTAAACCTGAAAAAATAAATCAGAAGCACTAGTAGTAAAAATGATGATGAAATTTCCAGTGGGGCTTACATCTGTCTCAAGTTAGAAAGTGATAACATATTAAGCTGATATAATATTTATTATAATTCAGTTTAACTATAATAGTTTTTTTTAGGTTTGGGAAATATTGGGCTCACAGTATGTCTTTGAATTTTGTTTCGTTGACAAGCCAGACAGCAAAGAGTCCATTCGATTATGTCTTTTAACATTGATGAACAGATGAAGCTATCTTGTAGGAGATGCTTGGTGGCACGAATACCTGGAGGTGACATTGTGTAATGAGCAGAAGATTTTGAGGTTGTCTCCCATTTTTAAAGGTTTTTTAAATCTATCGCTAAGTTATTGGAAGGGAGATTAAGTTTTAAGTTTCTCATCATTATTTTGGCAATCATCTAAGTTCTTAAGATCAGTTGTTGAAAAATTAAGTGCGTTTATTCTGAGAACATCTGCAACAGTGTTGTTTGAACCGGAAACTTGTCTGATATCCGTGTTAAACTGCGCGATAAAGTCTAAGTGCCGAAGTTAGATCCGAAAACAAGATTCAGGATTTTTTTAAAAGCAAAAACTGAAGGACGATGATCAGTATACAAAGTAAACTGTTGAGCTTCTAAAATATATCCGAAGTGTTTTGTAGTTGAGTAAATTGCTAACAACTCCCTGTAATTTTTATCTGTTGTGGTTAATATCTGAGAATGAAATGCTATTGGACGAATGTATTATTAAATTGTATGCATCTTGATACTCAAGAAAGAATCATGATGACTTAAAACTATGTTTAATAATCCAACAATAAAACGTAAGTATAATGAAATAACACACTAGCCAAAGGTAATCAGAAAAATAGCAGCAAACATCAACAAGTAAAGTTCTTATTATACTCTCTCTGAATCGAGATGGCAGCGTTACTATTCAGCAACTAAAGATTGTCGTTGTGGTTTCTTTAGTGAAGAAAGAGTGCGCCGGCTGGCACGACTACACATATTAACAGATTGAGATTTTGAAAATCCTCATTAAAAACTACAAGAAAAAAGATGGTCATATCCAAGATAATTCACTAATATTGTGGGCCGAGAAATGCGTAATTCGGAATTAGCGATATGTTATAATGGCGTAATAAAATATTGAGATTTAAAGAACCAAATAGAAATAAAATAGCAATGCATAGTTTCCAAACTAGCAATTATAAAACTGTATGGATTTGTCAAGAGATCTTTACTAATCAAGTGGGTCGAAATAAGATGTGATTACTTAAATGTGTGATTTGAAATTTGTAGTGTGCTTTAAAGTCATATTAAATCATTGATATTTTAAAAACTATGTAAGAAAAAGTAGCAATAACTGCCAAGAATGTTGTTGTCATAAAAAAAATGAGTAAAATAAAGAGTATTACTAAAATAATGATAAATGACTTCACTCGTGTTAAGTATTACGAGTACGCATAAGTAAACTGTAACAAATTAATAATGATACCGTAATTTCGCAGCGAAACGCTACCCTGGTATACATGCTGGGCTGGATTTTACTCTACCAAAGAAGGTATTGACTACAAATTTAACACATGTTCTAAATACGCATACATATATTAGTTAAATAAAAAACCTATAAAAGGATATTAAATATACAAAAAAATTTAAACAATCCTACTATATAAAATAGATTTCAATAACTTTCTAAGTAAATATTAAGCATTCTCTAATTTTAATTTGAAGTAACCATTAAAATATGAATTAAATAATTAATGTAACAAAAATCATTAAAATAAGTATTAAAATTTTTAGAAATAAACCGATCTTACTTTTAAATCAGCATTAAACGATAAATCCAAACAAATTTTGTGCAAAGAAAAACTAAAATTTATTCAGATATCAAATATAATCACATATAAATCCAGCGGCTCTCTGTATCCAAGCAAAATAAGTTTATTAGTTCATTGTTTATTTCGGGCTCATCCCCATCACTAACACTTTCATCACTTTCGGTTTCATTTCCCCCGGATATGAGTTCAGCTTTCTTGAAACCGTTTATCACTGTTTCTTTTTCACTGCTTTCCACGCTTGTGACACCCATACGGCGACCTCATCATAATTTGTCCTCGCATGTGTCCAGATTCAGTGCAGGAATGAATGCGGCGCTTCATCCAGTTTTCCCACAGCCGCCTCACTTCTTGTCTGAAAACCCCGTTGACAGGAAGGTCAACCTTTGTTAGGCCGCCGGGGATAGCAAGTTCTGTGGACAATTATTTTTTTTTTGCACAAAGCTTTGATAGAGTCCACTTTATGGGAGCGCAACGAGTCGAGGATTAATAATCCACGCGGCTGGAAAAAATCACCTTTCCTCCTCCGATATACCAAATCCAGCCACTGCCCCATCATATCCTCGTGCGTCCATCCCTATTCGTTGGCTGTAATTATCACGTATTGAGGAAAATTACCTTTCAGTATGGTTTTCCTTTTGAAGATCAGCAACGGGGCGGAACATCCAAGCACACAGGTGAAGGACATTTTTTCATGACCAGTGGTTACTGCCACAGATTTTGTTCCCGTTTCTTACACAGTCCTGTTTGGAGAGTAGTCAGAGGAAAGCAGAACCTCATCCATATTTATCATTTGTCTGTGATTAAGTCCACATTTCTCCATCATTTTAGATAAAAAAGAAGCCTTTTTTTCAATCCAATCAGAAGGCAATCGTTGACCTACTGTGGTTTTTTGTCTCACTGACAAGTTCTTTCTCTTCATGAATCTGAATCACCAATTCTGGCCTCCTTTAAAATCTGGAATTCCCATCTGGGAAGCAATTAATTTCGCTTGCACGCAAATTCAAACAGTAGAGAGGGACAACCTTTTGGCCCTCTGCTCCTTTATCCATGCCGGCAGGTTATCCTCCAGCACTGGCCACCCAACAGCGCCGAGCATGCTTCGGATGTACCATTCATCGACATCAAATTCTCGAGCAGCAGCCCGATTTCTAATTTCTTCAGCTCTTTTAATTGCTGAGAGCTTAAATGCAGCCGTATAACTTTTCCTCTTAATGGGAGGCATCTGAAATATATAACTTAAAAACAAGTTATACTGAAATTTAAGAAAAATGAAATAATAAAAAAAATTAACGAGACAAAAATATTAATGGAACAAAATATTAACAAAACAAAAACGCAACTGAAGATCGGAATTGAAGATTAAACGATAATAAAAATAAGCTAAGGACGAAGTTGATCGAACTCTTAAGGCAGAAATACGAGTAATGAAAAAAAAATCCAAGAAAAAGCGCTCCTCTTCCAAGCATTTAAAACACGTTTCTGTATTCCCCTTTTCCTCCCCCTACTTTCTCTTCTCAAATGAGACTTTGGAAAACAGCTCTTTTTTATTTACTGACTCCGTCTAGGAGGGTGTAAAATTCTCCCACATTGCTTCTTCCTCTCTTCACTGACCATCAGTTGAAAGTTAGAAATTCTTCTTGAATAATTTAATTGTATGAATATTCAAGTTCATCTCCAGCTCATTTGCACCATTCATTCATCAAACATTCACATGTTCTTAACAAGCAGCTGAAAAAAAGGGGAGTGGATGCTTACTGATGAAACCAAGAGACATATTTCCTGGAAAAAACGGGGAGGGGAGCGTTTGTTTCACAGTGAATGTCAGAATGTCATCACTGGCACCACATTGATTTTATTTATTTATTCCTTTCTGATTTATGCTTCTCCACTCCACGCCCATCCTCTACACTCAACAGCTGTTCCTATGGCAGAAGGGAAACACTGTCTGGAAACATGGGGGGGTGCGTTGACCATTCTTTGTAGTAACAATAAGCATGAAAAAATAAATAAAAAGCACTAGTGACAGGTGGAAAAAATGATGAAATTTCCAGTGGGGTTTCTAAAAGGCAAATTTTTCTAAGGCTATATTTAAAAAAAAGTAATGCTACATAGGCTGCCCCGTTAGATACGCCTTCCTATTAAATTTTCAAGTTTTAAATCAACAACGCTGTGGCGTGTCTCCGCGAAATTACGGTAATAATAATTTATCGTAAATTGATATTTGGTCCCAGCATCGTTGATTCTCAAAAGGGTGTGTAACATAAAATCTTAAACTTCTAATTTCCAAAATTTTTACAGCTTATTTTGAAATTGTGTGTTCTCATGCCTGATAAAAACTAAAACAAACCAAAAATACAGTGGATTTTTAGTTCTGTTTCATTGAGCATTTTGTCATCGGCCACTTATGTTCACTTTTTATTTTCAGTGATATGGAAGGCAAATCACAGCTAAAATATTTCACTGATCAGTATATTCCCCATATTAAAGGAAACTCTACTTCATCTCTATTTGAGTCAGTGAAAGCTCTTCAGATGTCAAGTAGTAAAACTTCTCCTGCACAAAATGGTAACAACATGTCTACTCACAAAAATACTAAAGTTGTAACAAAAGAGTTAGATGTGATCTCATGCCAAGACAGTGGACACAGCAATGCAAACACTATCATCATAGATGATTCTAGACAGTCTGAAATTTCAAGCTCAGAGTTCATCCAGGGAGATAGCTTATTGGGTAATTCTGATCCAACTTTTATACTAAAATATCCTTTCTTGTCTGTAAAATGTGATGACAGCCAGTTGTCTGAAAATAGTAACGAAAAATGTATAAGCGAAATTTCGGTTATGGGAAATAATTGTGATAACAAATCAGTATTAAATTCTAAAGATGATAATATATTAGCCACTCTGTCTCCGAATATCACCCTGCAAAATTTATCAGCTGTAAACAGTATTAATGGTAGTGGTGTCAAAATTCATGGCAAGTTAATTGAAGAACATGATGATAATGTAATTCCATCTAAAACTGTTGAGATTTCTTCTCCTTTCTTTAGTTTATGCCCAGTAAATCATTCCAACGGTACTAATGAAAACTTAAAGCTAGACAATTTAAATGTCCGTCATGTAAGTGAATATGATAATAACAGTGAAAGTGATGTTTTTTTGCGTAATGACCGTTCTAATGAATCTTTGCACAGTGAAATTTAAAACAGTATATCCAAAGACAGTTTAGATGTTTTCTCTGATGTTTCTAATCTCTCAAAGGATTTATCTTTATTCTGAATGCATCTAAAACAAAATACACAATCAAGCACCCTAGACTCTGATATTTCCGCCCTTTAAGGAAAGATTTGAGTAATTAAACTTTTCAAGGGACAGATAATTCCACAATGCAGTTAGTTAAGTAGATTTTAGAAAGAAAAAAATGAAGATTTTAAAGAAATATTAATCTCTAACAGTAATTTATCACCTTTGTTAAGTTCGAACCTACTTCATGAGAATAGCAGTTCCTCCCTCTCATCCTCATGTACTGAGTGGAATGATTCTTTTCAGCCACAAGATATATTGCTAGGCAAGTACATTTTGTCTGTCATTCGATTGATTAACTGATTTGAAATCCTGAAGTATTTTATTTGTACCTCTTGATCGTCATTAAATAGCTTAGTATGATAGTTTCCAACTTGATGTAGGAGTGCAATGTAGTATTAATGTATGTTGTGTTGCATTCTGTTCTTTTTCTTTAAGCAAATTAATTAAGTTTCAAATAATTGAAACAATCACGCTCATCCCCCAGTGAAAAGATACGCTTAAAAACATGGTTTAAAAATGAGTTAATAAATTTGCACCTGGAATAATATATAAATTGATAACGTCTGCTAATAAAATTTCTAGAGCTAGAACATATCGCATACGTGCTCTTTTGATCAGAATAAATAAGGAAAAGAAAGTAAATTTTCACCAACAAATGTTTATGTTTATTTGTTCTTTATACAGGGATTGTTTTCTAATCGAACTCTGTTCTTGAATATGATACATCAATCTAGATATTTTATAAGAACCAAGTTGTAGGTGCGATATAGCTACAACTGGTTCTTGCGCCAATAACTCCCAACTGTTCTCGAATATAAAGAGATTTTTGTTTCCATAAATGTTTTTGAAAAAATAATAAGGATTAAGAATAATATATTACTTACTATTTGAAGAAATATGTTATTTTTTTCTAGTCAAATTTTCTTTTACATTTCAAATCCATTTTAGCACTTGCAATATTCTTTGCGTGACAAAACGAACATCTTTATTACACGATGACTAATAAAAGCAAGTGCTATGGTGAAATAGATTAAAATCCAACACCACAATAATTACTCAAAGATCAGATTAATGCACCCCGAACCAGTCGGAGGTGGTAGGCGAGATAGGACATGTGACTCTCTCCAGACTTAGCTATGAAAGATCTTGATGTTAAAGGAAGGAAAGAGAGGAAACCTCCCGAAGAACTATGATCAGTTTTGTTTTCTTCATGCAAGAAAATTTTTTGTGTAACAAAAAAAATTCGAAAAAAAAAAAGTTGGGAAAGAACTACCTGCTGTTTGTTTACTTAAGTAACTACTTTTTTTTTTTACTCACCACATGACTTGCACATATTTCCAGGTTATTTTTGAAAATACTTCAATATGACGTCCCATTCCTGAAGGAACCTTTAAAGCACTCTAATTGAAGAAAGCCATCTGGTACAAAAATGTTTTAAGATTTTTTTGGCGTCATTAGAATATGACTACTGCAATATTTACTAACAATCTTGGAATCAGGAGCATTTGGTGAAAAACTTGGCTGGCACATCTGATCACTTCGGTATCAGATCACAGATGACTCAGAAGCATCGGAGTCTAGTTTCATTAAATTAATGTGTTTTAATATATCACTCCTACCACCCTGGCTGATATTAAAGTCGTAGGCACTCATATTGCAATATTCATATGTGTTTATCTTATGTGTTAGAATTTTTTTATGGTGGAAAATTAATTTTTATACTATTCAGAAATACTTTAATTTGCATTACTTATTTTATTATTTAAAAATAAAGTGCAAGCCCAGAGCGCACATGTTAAAAATATATTAGATTTAGATAAGAGCACTCAGAGGTTATCATGGGCTAGTTAAAAAATGCAGAACGGACCAGCTGTCACAGGGCATGCAGGGTAGAAAGAATAAAGTAGTTTATTGTTTCGGATTGGATAAGAAAACTTTTTCTCTTTGAGTTAAAGGATTTGATCATGCCATTCCTTGGTGATTAAAGTAGGTACATTTGGGACAATACTTGGAAGAAAAAAGCACTTTAAAAATACTAAATTGATGTAATGAAAATCATTAATGGTTTATGCATATAAAATTGTAAAATTAGATGCATTTTTGTAAAAATCATGAAAAATTTGCACAAAGTTAACTGGTATGCAATTCCTTGAATTACAATTAAGTTTATAAAACTCTTTAGACATATTCCTTATATTTTTTTTATTGAATGTAATTACAAATTCAATTTGTATTTTTAACTTCTTACATTTTTTATCAGATTCTTTTTCTTCTGAAGAGAAGATGAAACAGGAGAAAATATCAAAGTAGAATTACGGTAAGTCCCACAAAGTCTTATCTGATTTTATACATGTGCTTACTTTTTAATCTGCTTTTAAATTCGTGAGTTTGGAGCAGCATGTCTTTTTTTGGACCTTGTGCCACTAAACCCTACACTCAATTCAATTCCCACACAGTTGATTACATCTTTGTTCCAATTTATACAAATGTTAAACTTATTAAATTATTCAAGTGCTATCTTTAAGATTCATTAAAGTGATATTGATCAGAGAATGAGTTGAATAAATTTAGAAATATTCATGATTTTTACTTCGTGCATATTTTATGAACATTGAATAGTTTTTTTAAATATTTAGTTAATTTTTAAATATATGTTCTATATAATTTCAAAAATTATTAAATTTGTATTTTAATCTGAAGTGTCTTTTTATTTAGCTGATTTTTTAAGCCTGTTACTGTGTTTCACTTCTGGTCTTAAGTTGATAATCTAAAATTAGAAATTGGTTAATTATCACTGATGTGATATCAGACAATTTTTTTTCTATACTTTTAGGTAATAAATATTAAAATAAGGAATAATCTTAATCAATATTAAATAAGAAATAATACTTAAAAAGGGTTGCTGTTTTTTTAATGCTGATGAACTTTTTTCAAATTGTTAAAAATTGTTAGCAGATGTTAAGAGTTACCTTTAAAAAAATGGTCATATTTTTTTATTTATTAGGGGAGAGTGACTCACCTTGGGACACTTTTTTATTTTCATTTTTTGAAATTTTTTTTATTCAGATCAATTATTTCAAAATTTTACCTGGTATTCTTGTAACATTTGAAAGCATTTTTAACTAGGTTTTGATTTTGTATCTGTCATAGAAAGAATTTTAAACAATTTTTAGTTACCTTGCTATTTGTCCCAAAGTGTACCTCCTAGTGTGGCACCTTGGTAATTGTCTAAAGTTAAAAAGATGTGAAAAGTTAAGTAGAAGTTTTCTAAAAATAGTTCAACTAAATAAATTTACATTTTTTAATTTTGTTAATAAAGTTTTATTTTGTTAGTTTCAACTTCTTGTATGCAAATCCAATTGTTTAGAATCAAATACCAAACCTAAAGAATGTTCAAAGCTTTGCTCTGCTTAAGTTTTAACAAAATGTCATTTGAATCTATGTATGATTTGTCTTCTTTTTTGGGATAAATAAATGTTGCAGATTGATTCACTCTTCTCAAAACTGATAACTCTTACTCATCTCCATCAACTCTTTCAACGCAACCTACAAAGGCAACAATAGATTTTTTACCTGTAAATTTGATATGAGCAAAATCATTGTTCATTTCAAAATCAAAAATTTCAATCAAAAATTGTTTTAAAAAATATTTTTGTAATCTTGTTTCACTACTTTTTTCTTATCATCAAATATTTTATTGTCACTTTCATTGTTCAATTCATTTAAGCTGCAAGCATCATCATCACTGTTATCATTGCAAAAATCACTAATTACTGGTTTTCTTCTGGATATATTTGTCACTAATTCTGAGAGCAATAAATCCTCATCTTCCCAGATTTTTGTTTACATTCTCCCAGTTTGGTGCAATGTTCATTTGAACAAGTTGCACTCAATAAAAACAGATTTTAACCCTTATCCTGTATTGAGTCTGCGGCATGCAGATGTAAAATTAAATCGTCTCCGAATCGGCCATACTCGGCTGACACACCTACATTTGTTATTTGGGGAACCTCCTCCCCAATGCAACACCTGTGAAGTTTTACTCACTATTCATCATATTTTAATCTTCTGCCCATGTTTCAACCGTCATCGTCTAACCTTTTTTGGTAGTTCTATTTTAACTCTGCAGGATTTGTTAGGTGACTCTCATCATCCTAACATTTTTGCGTTTCTACGCGCAATTGGTATTTTATACTGTATATAACTGTCTTATCCTATTCACAATTTTACCTGATTTTATTCAGCTTTGAATGCAACTGTTTTGTAATGTTTTACTACATTTACATTTTATCAGATTTTACTCACTTTTGAATACCTCTGTTACGTTGTATCTAGTTTTATAAATTCCGTGTGACTTTTAACGAGGAAACTTTTTATTATACATTTACCTCATTTTAAAACCGTTTGTTTGGCGCAGCATGTCCTTCTTTGGACTTTGTGCCATTAAACCCTACATTCAATCAATCAAGCAATGTTCATTTGGTTTGGCAAAGCACACTCATATGTACGTGCACATGCCTCACATATTATTAATCCTTAATGGTACTTGGAGGCTTGTAACATATAGTGTACCAAATTTGTTTCTTCCTCACCTGTGATTATTTTGCGACTCTGTATATATATTTAAAACATATTTAAAGTTAGAATTTGGCTGCTCTCTTTTTTTAAAGGAAATAAAATTGCGGTTCATAGTGGTCTTACTAATACTGTAGAATTCAGCAGCTTTCTTACGAGTCATTTCCCTTGATAAAATTTTGCAGCTGCTTTTTCAACATTGTTAACACAAACTGCTGCATTATTTTTATACTTTTTGCTTCTAATTCTTGTGATTAGTTAAGTCTAATGAGTTCCTAAAATAAGAAATAATAACTATTAATGAACACAGATTATATATATTAAAAAATACTTTGCAAGCACAATATCTTTTTGTGAAAAATCTATTTTTAATAAGGATTAATTATGCATATCCAGTGTCCCAAGGTGGGCCACCTCCATCTGTCCCAAGGTGCACTATGTACTTAATAGGATATTTTAAAATATCTTACTTTTAGGCTTAGCATTAGAACAATTAAATTTGATCACTTCTAAAGGAAAAGCTTTATACTTATTACAGAGGTGCCAACCTGGCCGAATTAACAATCAGGAGTCTCCTGAGCAAAAATTCAGGAGATTTCAGGAGGGGTAAAAAAAAGTTGAATTTTCACCTATAAAGTATCATTTTAAATAAAAAAAGTTATATAACTATAAAAGACAAAAAATTTAACTTTCAATCAAGTAGTTTTTGGTTTGTAATAGTTTTAATATGATATAAACAACACACACATCAGTGAAATTAATTTATTTTTCTAATTCAAAATCATAAAAAACATAGCAGCAACAACAGAAATCAAATGGTAAGAAAATACTATTTTACTCAGAAAAAGAATTTTTAAATTGAAAAAAAAAAATCAATCCAGGAACCATTTTAATTTTAAAAAGCAAAATAAATATAGAAACAAGAGAAAAACATTACTATGATAGAAATAGCAAATAAAAAGCATATAAATTGTAAACTTTTTCAAAAAATAAGAAAAAAATAATTAAAATTTTAGAAGACTTAAAGTAATTTATCAAATTTCAAGAAAAAGATAAGAAGCATAATAATTATTAGCCGTGAAATAAAAAACAAATATTCAGAATTTTAAGTAGAATTTAAAGAATTATAAGTTGCAGATTTAGCTTTTTGCAATAAAGATTTGCTAAAGGTCTGTTCATGACAATTGCCTTTCATTGTTGATTTTAAAATCAGCACTTTTTCAAGTGTTTCGTTGCTCATAGATGACCTAAACTGTGTGCAAGTTTTGGTGACAAAGCTAAAGATCCTCTCACATGTAGCATTACTGTGGGGGAGTGTCAAAATGCTTAACATAACTTTGGATAACACTCCAAATTTATTGCTTCCGGCAACATCTTTCAGTTCGCCAATCAAGGCCCATGCCTTATCAACTCTTTCCTTGATTATTTCTTGTGGCAATGTCTCCATTTGCAAAGTGCAAAATTGCTTTTGAATGACATCAAAATTAGAGTCTGAGGGAATAATTATTGGATAACGATCCAGGAAGAACTTCACTGACGAAAATGAAGCTTGATCTATGGTTTCAATGCAGGCTACTTCTGCATTGATCAAAATTTCATCATTGTAAGGAAATTTTTTAACAATGTAGCAACAAACATTCTCATAATATGATCGGACAGTTTTGAAAAAAAGTTTCTTTTTTGAAACATTTTCTAAAATCTTAGAAGCTTCCTGCCCAATAACTATATCAGCATCAGATTTTTGATTTTCTAGTTTAGAAAACTCCACAGTAAAAAGGGTCGATGCTTTCAATGCAGAAGGTTTAAGAAATCTTGAAAAGAGTTCTTTTAACATATTTATTAAAATTTTTCGCAAAACATGTATATGCGGAATGCTAGATTGAAGGGTTACATTCGGACCCTCAAAAACTGGCAAAACATTAACCAGGAAATGGCATAAGGCCCTATTTATATCAGAAGAAAGAAAGAGGAAAATCCTTTCCTCTCTACTTAACACATTTTGCCTTGCATTAAGATCTTCTGGTACACAAGGACTTGACTCACGTTTTCTTTTTTTGCTATTAGAACTTTGAACATTCACTTCATTTTTAAAGAGTGATGTCAGTGGATCCCACTGCTGTAATAATCTAGTTAAGCATCTACCTAATGATAGCCATCGGGTAGACACATTAATAACGTGTGTTCTTAATGGCTTAGGGAAAAAGGTTTAAAAAGTAAAACAAAAGATTAAATAATTAATTTAGAATGAACCATTAAGAATTAATTTAGAAGAAACAATTACAAATTACTAGAATAACAATATCCTGTAAACGGATACGTATCATCTTAATTCGAAACATGGCCAAAAGTATAATTTAAAAAAATTTGCGTTGTCGCAATAACCTGAAAGAAAAATAAATAGCTGAAAAGGAATGGATTGCCTAGAGTTAAAAAACACATGAGACAGATAAAACAAAAATACAGAAATTTGTAAACTCACCACATTTTATTTGTTAGACAGCACTCTTTTTTTTAAAAAAATTAAAAAACGTATAAATGCAAAACATCACTATCTACAGCCACACAGGCCACAAATTAAAAATTATAGAACAATTTTATAGATGTAAATGGATTTGTATCATGCTCAAAAAATCGTCATCAATTTCTTCTAAAAATCAGACTCCACGCCTCCCTGATGCACAGACGTACATCAGGGGGCCCACAAAGAAATCGAATGAATCTTCTCGAAAAAGGGGGAAAAGG